CTTTAACTATCCACTATTATTAATCATCCAGTGGCGGCGACACAGGGGGGGGGGGGCAGAGGTGGCGATCGCCCCTCGAAAAAAATGTTGGGGTGGGGGCGTCGCCCTCCCAAAATCACGCTGAAACCCTTTGTGTCAGCAAAATTTGCTCTTCAAAAGGCAGGAAATAGCGTTCCAGAGGGTTTAGATTTCAAAATGTTTAAGGTGGAGCATGCCTGGAGCCCCTAGTTAGCATCGTTCTGACAAAACATTCTATCTCGCGACTGGGCGACGGAAATACACAGTACAATATTCGACTATAATAGTAGACTCCTAATGATCAACAGCTGCAGTGTATCGAAAATTGTCGCTGCAACCCGACGACTGTGTGGCCATATTACGTACAGATATTTTTTGACATGGTGTTTAATCAGCCATCAAATCTTCCCGCTATTACGATGATCGAAACCGAGGCCAACACAATTTCCTCAACATTGCTTGCTCACTGTTTATTTCACAAGAGCTAGACTGAAAATGAAGTGCGATGAGTACACTTCTCTTACGCGTTGGTCTGCGCAACAGTCAAGTCGCCGTCTTTGTTTATATGATACCGACATCATGCGCATGCGTGGCGCGGCCGTCTTTGTTTATATGATACCGACATCATGCGCATGCGTGGCGCGACGACCACCGCCCCTTACAATAATATACAATTTACAGAGAAATTCCAAAGACTTATTGACAGTTTAAATATTTAACACAAGCTATATAACATTGATTGTTGAAATATTCAAACCAATTTCGCAATCAAATCATATAATGATTTACAAATACTAGTACTTTTAATTTTCGGAACGCGTTTGTAGAATTATCCTCATACGTCACATGATACTTAAATGGTGAGCATTGTCTCAGACGCCCGACATGTTAATTGGGACATGAACGTCACATGATTGTAAGAAACATTGTGATGTCAGCCTGAGGGGGTAATATTAACTGCAATTGTTTTAGGCGGATATTATCGCTCTCGGTCAGTCGACCGACGAAGATTGTGTGCGTTCTTTCATCAACAGTCTTAGATCGACACTCAAATTAGCCAGTGTAGTAAGGTATAAGGCTCCTAATAAAGAATGTTCTTTCAACATAGCCACTTTATATTTACTACAGTGAACGGCATACAGCTGTTGTCGTTAACAACTTTTAAAAATATTTATTATTATTTTTTTATAAACTAAACAAAATGAAGGTTAGAACGTAAATTGACCAAGCCCGAATTGTGACATCGTCGTTAGTTTCAATGAATATTAATAAATATTAATTACATAACATTATCTAATCAACAGGCGCCTCATCTCGGAGTAAGTGGAGCCGGGTCGCAGTGAAGGCATGCGCGCGCATAATGAGCGTAGAAAATTGGCTCATGAGCCAATCACTATTGAATATTTGAATTTAAATGAAAGCTGAGGATCCACATTTCTAAATTTGTATGAATACGTTTATAAGCAAAGCGCCGGGGTCAGCACTTATATCACGCACTATTAATAGCCCATCCGCTGTGGGAGTGCGGCCCCCTTGTAGAAGAAAAGTCTACATAACTACAGATTTTCGATTATTTCTACAGTTTAAGGATACAGCCATGAATACCTTCATTATTGTGATCGTGTTGGCAGTGTTGGGCAGCTCGCATGGAGCACCTTCAAGGAGAAGCTCAGGGTCGGGTAAGTAGGATTTAAAATTTTACTGAGGCTGAAATCCACCGTCCACCCGTTGTACCCATGCCCCACTAATATTTATAATACTACACAATAATCTGAGTGTTACGTTATGATCGGGAATTACATTAAGGATCTTTAAAGGGCGAATATGTTCACCAATCCTTCAAATACGAGTCCCACTAGATATGGTTGATGCTGATTCTTACCCTTTCATTTATTTTCATTAGAGTTGTAACTGTTGTGATATTGTCAAATTTATGATATCATTTTCATTTTCGTGCAAGTTCCGGAAATGTATTAAAGCATATTATGACACATGAAGGTACAGACCACATGTTCCAACATATGGTTGTCATCCGTATATACAAATAACAATGTCAACAATCAATACTTACTCGTTTATCACGATAGCCTTTTGGCGGAATTTTTAAGATCCAACTTTGGAAATTTTAGCGATTGTCCCTCATAATATCGAACTTATATTATTTACGAAAGGAAAACAAATGCACACGTCCTGCAGCGAACAGCAATGTAGCAATTTATCAACGATAGCAGTTGTCACGAGAAATAAGCTGCTGGCACTAGTTTCTAATTTTGGATCAACGCTCCGAACACGCAGCCCGACAGTCACGAAATAACAGGGATGCTTTTGAGACATTGGTGTTGTCAGCTAATGTTGATATTGATCGGCGATGGTCTATATCGATGAATCATGTCGTATCCCGGATAAGAAAAATACAATCGCCTGATTTTTATTGGGCATATAATTTAGTATATAATTATTATATAAGCATTGTCACGATACACAGTCAGTCACAACGAGAACCATATGTTCATATTTACAGCGCAGTCAAATATAGAGAAAGGTGTGTGTGATAAAAATAAATAGGTAAACTCGTACACCGGCGATGTTGTACAGAGAACAAATCGCCAAGTAACACGACTACTCGTGGCTTTAGGAAAGGTTATCATTAGTTTATTGACAGATCCTCAAATTGATGTAACATATTCTACGGAATATACAATATGTATTAAAATGCTAAGTTATCTATAAAAAAAGTTTGTTTTGTTTCAAATCTATTCTCGTGTAATGTCGGGGTTAGTCAAGGTGAAGATCTGTCTCCTTTGATGTCTGTGCCATGCTTTAACGATTTTAATATTTTGTAATCCGTTGTTACAATGGGTTATCCATAATATCCACTGATGTTAATGAGATATTAAGCGGCGATAATGTAGACATTTCTCTTAAAATGTTTTATACGGACGACACTCTCATGAGAAATCACCCAAATACTGAAAATCGCGCACCGATTACGGTAAAATGAGGTCATTTCAGATAAGACTAAAATATTAATCTTTTTTTTTCTTGAATTAATACCAGAAATTTACAAGAGTACAACTTGACGAGCAGGACGTTGTAAATGATTAAATGCATCTCGGTATCGTGTTATGAAAACAAATCATTTCTTTAAGCTAAGCTAAGCTAAGATAAAGACCTTACCGTTACACTCGATAGTCTCACT